GATTAGATCGGCAACAAATGTGGCTGCATGTCCGTGAGGATTTGGCAACCCCAAAAGCGAAAGTTTCACTAAACGCCATTTTGAGTTAATGAAAAGCACAGTCACAAGATGTTTGCAGCATTTGTCCAAAGATCATGGAGTACGGCGAGAAACGGCAACTGCAGCAATGAATCGAACTCTGTCAGGAGATCTGTTAAAACTTTATCAACAAATATTTTAAATTCTCCATCAGCAAATGCATAGAATATATCACGCGAAGGAAGACACAGTTTCGGTTTATTCGACAACCGACGGAACAAGATCTGCAATACTTCATTTTGAACCACTGTGTACAGTAATTCTGCCGAGAGCAACCACCTTGTAGTCATCATTCGTAATTCATCGGAACTCACTGAAAGTGATTCTTGTATGGTGCGCAGTATCCTCTGTTGCAGCGATCACGTCTAATATGCGTTCGGATTCGCTCTCTGTCTGTGTGTGCAACGCTTTTATCGAGAATGGATGGTCTTCGTGAGCCCTGATCATGTGTCTGGCGGCGTTAGTGGAAGTTTTGTGTCGCACCAACCAAGACTTCCATATTGCTGAAGTCGGATCGGAGCTCTTAAATATGTAAGCGCACACGATACAGATGTGGGTAAATGGGCGACTGGGGTTTCTGGGTTCAGGAATCGGCGGGTCAAGCAAATGGCTGAATCTCCATACTTTTGTAAACAGATTTTGGTTTGAGTGGCGAATTGAAGTTGGGATGCCATGCTCGTCGAATACATAAACATCCGTATGAGCAGCACTTGCTGAGATTGGCTGCGCTTCAGTGCTGCTTTGATGTAAAAGATCGTCCGACATCGCCGAGTGAGTGCTTTTGTGTTGCTGTTGCGGCGTTGTTTTGCGACTGAACAAAGATAACCGATTCGACTTCAGCTTTGAAATAGATGTGTAAAAACCTGGAGGTCAAAGTATTGCTATAGGTGGATCAATGATACTGATCTTGCTTGGCCACCAGTATCAGCAAATACTGATACAAGATTCTAGCCATCTCGTATCACCGTATCAACAAGTATCACGTCGTGATATGAACCCCTGATCCAGGTAGTCATTCCCGCCCAACTGAGTGTTCTTGTAGTTATTCACAAACCGCTGAACGACCTATAGATATGGCAGAGAGCTCGTACAGAGCTCAAACTTGCGCAGCAGACCGCTGCGGATTCTAGCTGGCTTAAGACCTTGATCAGCCATCTCCTTGGCGAAGTCCTTCATTGCTCGTGTAAGACTCGGCGGACGAGGATGACGGAGAGCCGTTACGTGGGCCCCGTTTTGGAAAACATCCACCACGTTGTGCCGCCCGCACTGAAGCCGCTTGCCCCGCCATGGGCAGCGCGCGTACGGCATGCCCAGCTGGCAAATGCGGCACGCGCAGAGCAGGATGCGCTTCCTCATGTTATGAGTGGAGGGGTCGGTGCACACAGTACACTGGGCTTGGTCGCTTTTCGAGATCTTGAAGGCCTTGAACGTATCTAAGAGAAGGTCAGCGCCCTCCTCCTTGAGACCGAAGGCGAGCTCAGACCAGGGAAGAGAAGGGGGCTTTGTTAGCGGTTTGGGGCGGTAAGTGTGCGGTACTAACGGAGTAGGAGGTTTTGGTGTGAGCTTTATAGAGATCAAATGCAAATGTAAGGCTCTAAAATGTGCGGCTACCACCGATTGAATTTAGAGTGATTAAAGTGATACTGTTAGTGGTTATCGAATACAAATATGTAATATTTAGCATATCACTGGCATATGTGCGTGCTATCCGACAGAACCTACCAGAATGGGCTTAGACGAGCTCAAAGCCCGGCAACACGAAGCGTGCGAGAGCGCCAACCATCAAGGTGTTTAACACCTCTGAAAAAGTGAAAATGATGCGTTTGACTATGTAAAACAATGCATTGAGAAGGATGATTCAGGTAATTGTTTTGTGTCTAAATTAGATAAGTTCGGAATGTACCTTCCGTTTAGGAGGGCACGAAACAAAAACCTCTTTCCAGGAACACCTCAATGCAGTATTGTAAGGCAAAGTAAATTGTGGCTGTTTGAGCTCTTCCCTGCCAACGACACATCGACGAATCAAATTTGCTAAGCATGAGGAAGACACTCGACAGCAACGAGATGGAAAGGCAGCTAACATAGCGTCTTCATGCTCAAAGAGCGTTTTAATAAATGGCGTTGCATTTGTGCAAGAATGCAACGACCTCTAGTGACTTCTAAGATGCTGCATTGCAGTGTCTGCTGTGGTACCTGTTCGACCGGAAATCACGGAGCGTCTTGTAGGATACGCAAGCTCCAGATCTCGAGTGGTCCAGCCGGATCTCGATATGGGTCAGTCTTCTTCCGATCCTGAAGTCTTCATCTTCTCCGTGTAGTCTTCGTCTTCTTTTTCTTCAGGTTCTTCAACTAGCGACTTGATTTTAAATACGGTATTGATTTAACAGGTAAATTGAAATTAATACCGTTTTACCTTCACTTTCTCTTCTTTTGCTAGCAGATTTTGACGCAAGTCACGATCCGCAGGAGTCCCTGAAGGGACTTGGGGAGGATAGAGAGGTTTTTCTTCCGGACCCGGATTCTGATCTACCTCTCTTCCGTCGGCAGACTTCCTCCCAGCACTCTGTCGATCCGACGTCTGTCAACGCTTGATTTCCCGGCCCAATCATCACTTGAACCTCTTTTTCGGACTCACGATGATATCCGGCGTCACCAGAAGATCCGGGCACGAGCACCATTGTGATGTAGCTGGATCAGCAGAATTTGCGAGATCGCTGGATCCGACTTTCCACTAGTACCCAGACATCGACAACGGAGGGGTTCACCCGATCACCCGTGATCTGCCAATCTTGTTCACCTTGTGTACCCGTCGGTAGGGCAGGATCTTGCTCCTCTGGTAACTGCAGACAGGTTTACGTGGATGAAGCTTGAGTGACTTGGCAAGGCGAGGGGATTAAGTGGAGTAGAAGTGGAAGATCTTCACTCTATGTCCGATGCAGTGTTCAGATCACAACCGAGTACTTCGAGCTTGTCGGATCTGGTGGTCTGGATCTGCGGTCTGACCGTGGGTAGCCTTGCAGGTGTGTTCCCTTGAGTTTCCATTTTGTCGTGCTTGCCACTTCCTATAGCGGGATCATGATAGTTGACATTCGATAGGTATTCCAGTCAAGCA